AACTTGACAAAACCTGAATTTCGTCGATTTGGAAGATATTCCATCCAGAGGCATGGAGCAGAGGGTCAGGGCTGATGCTCTATTTCAAAGCTTTAAAGGCAGCCATGACAGTGGATATGAAGAGTTACTTAACAGCTCAAAGAGGGATCTCTCCGAAGCCCAATATGACCTGCTGAAGCATCTCTCTTCAGATCGTTCACTTGCACTTCAGATGTCAAAGGAAAAGCTCTCAGAAAACCATGCACTTACCAGTACCTCATCTTTAAACACTCTCACACCCAAAAAGGATAGACTGAGAGTGAAAGACACACAGAGAAGCCCAATGAGGGACATGAAGAAAGAGAATGCGTATTCCTCTGGCTGGTGCGAAACCCCTAAAACATCAAGAAAAGATGCCTCGCTGCGAAGACGTCTTCTTGTGTCCAAAGCAGCTTCAGGTGGAAGAATAGGAAACGCAAGCTCTTCCAACAGCAGGCTCTTCCCATCTTCTGAAGCTCCCAGGCCTGAAGAGCGATACTCCAGTGGAAGTTTTGATTCCCCAGACAGGCTGTTTGAGGCCTTAGTCACTAGCACTTTGAAAAATGAAGAAATGTCTTTATCATGCAGGAAGAGGCGTCTCATGTTCTCCCAGGTTAAAACATCCACCCTGGAAGATGGAAAGGACAAAGCTGCCCAGCCTTTAGCCTCTGAAGCTGAGGGTGCAGAGGCCCTTGCAGTCCAGGTAGAGCTCAATGAAAGCATTATTTCCTCCTTCCCGCACCACCTGTCCCCAGAGTTCCTCGAGACTCAGTGTCTTTGCACTTTCACTCCATCTGCAAAGGAGAACTTCCAGACTCCCGTGCGTAACCCAGCTTCAAACCCATCCGATGGCATGCGCATCTTGAGCTCGCCCTCCCTCACGCCGATCCCCAAGCTGGACATCTCGGCCTCTGAGGACAGCGGCTTCAGCTCCCTGGGTCTGGATAAGTCTCAGGATTCCACCCTGGACCATGAGGGTTCTTTCCAGGAGCTGCTTCTGCATTCTGCCCTCAGAGGCAAGGAGACCCCAAAGGTCGCTGAGGCCAGGAAGAGGTCCAGACTGGAGCGGCAGCGGAGGCTCTCCACGCTTAAAGAAGGGGGGTCCCAGTCTGAGGAGGACGTCAGGCCTGCTGAGCCGGCATGCGCCGAAGCCAGACTCCACCTGGAGGAACAGAAGGCCCTCACTGCAGAGGAAGACGATGAACTCTTCCTGGACAAGACTCCACTTGGGACCACCTGCTTAAAGCTGCAGGACCTCTCCCTAACACCTGCCCTGCAGGTGGTCCATGCCATGTGCCAGCGCAGTGCCGGCAGGCTGCCAGAGCAGTTGAGCTTGGAGGAGTTGCTGAGGTCATCAGAAGGCGCCCAGTCCTTCCAGACCACCATGCCTTTGGCAGGGCTCATTGGGAGAAAGATGGGGCTGGAGAAACTTGATATCCTTGTAGAGCTGAAGAAGAGGAACTTGAGACATGTCCTGGCTAAGATATTAAATCATCTCTCTTCAGAAGATATTTACAGGTGTGTATAAATTGCATCTTTGAGTTTCATTAATCTGAAGATTGCATATTTATATTCATGTTTTTTTTAAAAGGTCAGTCGGTAAAACTGGATTATTTGGTATTAACATGGATGACATTAATGAGAAATGCTTTTGCATGTTTGCCCGCTCCAAACAGATTTGGCCAGGTTTCTGATCTCTGGGATGAAATAATTTTGCAAGATAAAATGACCAATCGACGAAGAAAATCGTACCTGAAAGACCTGAAGATGGCGCTTGAGGTAAGCATGGCTCCTCAGGGATATTACATGTCAAGCAGAAGTGTAATTTTGTGTTACACTTTGTTCTGTGTTCCCTTCAAGTTGTCACATGGGACACGCACAAGAAAAACGCATTGTTTGGCGTAATAAATGTATTGATGTTAAGGGTGTAGGAATTAACGGACTTGTATCAGTGCATTGAAACAGAAGTAACAATACAGTTGGATCGATGTTGCGCGAGACTAATCCATCCCACTAATTTTTTTGAAATTTATTGTTATTCATATTAATGCAGCAATTGGCTAAAACTAGAGTGGTTAGTTGTGTTTGAACATTGAGTGTTTTTTCAATGGCATACAGAGGTTTATGCTCTTATTTATGCCTTGACAGTATTTGATCGTAAAGGCCTGAATATGCTGCATTATAATCACCATTGGAATGCTTTAGAACTCTCTATGTTATATGACAGAATGTACAAGATGAAAATAAGCAGATTATCCTTGATGTGTTCATGGTGATATGCTTTGGATGCAGTGTATTACATCCTTTGTTTTCCCTCTGAACATTTTCCCCCATTTTGCCATCAGCACACACTTCCTCCTCGTTTCTGAGTGACTCTGCTCTTCCCCTGATGTCTGCAGCTGGGTGGCGTGGCCCACGTTCCCGATGCCGAGACGAGGCTGAACCTGCCGTGCAGGTCTGCTCTGAGGTCTGTCCAGGCCCAGTCCAAGACGCCCGTCTCTCACACCCCCACATCGGGAAACAGCAATTTCACCCCAGTCCAGCACAAGGGACACTCGGTGAGCAAGCGGGATGAGTTCTTACAGGTGAGTCCAAGGTGGCATTGATAGAATCCTGTGGCTTTTACTTTTCATGCATTCCAAGCAAGTATGGTTTCAGAGTTTAGGTTAGCGGTTCTTTCATAAGTTGGTCACAAACGAAAAGGATATTAAATAAAAACCAAAAAAAGCTATTTACACTCCTCGCTTGCCGCCATTGTTTCGAAGGTCGCCAAAACCCTCTTCAACGACGAGTGCCTCAAGCCGTGCCCGCGGTGCCAGCACCCCGCCAGGTGTCACTCGGTGAAGGGGGAGGGCGTGTGCAGCCGGGAGGACTGCGGCTTCCGCTTCTGCACCAGCTGCCTGTGCGCCTACCACGGCTCCAAGGAGTGCGGCAGCTGGTCCGGCAAGCGGCGGGGCAAGAAGGAGGTGCTGCCGGGCAGTGCCCAAAGCAAGCGCAACCTGAGGAGGCTGTAAATGAGTGTGTATGGATGTGTGTGTGTGTGTCTGTGTGTGTGGACCTTTGAGACTTTTTCTGGCGTTTTTATAGTTCTATTACTTTGCGTGTTTTTAAATTATGGATCCGGGAAGGGCGTTTGAAGTGCCCGCTCCCTCGATCATCAGCCTGAAATTTGCTGCTAAAATCCTCTTACTTTTTGATCGGTGTCCAGCGGGTGTTTCACTGCATGAGCTGTGTATATATTGTTTTAATGTCCTGCTTTTGTACACCCATTGTTTTTATGTACTCTGCATGCAAATAAAGTTTGTTTTTTTAACGTGGTTGCTCTTTATTGCCAAAGCTTGAGAATGATTACATCACTGTTTTTGGAGTAGGGTGACAATGTTCTGAAGCGGAGGTGTGTTTACATTCAGATCAGGACACACAATTGTTTGTCTTTGCCAGGTTAGATAGAATGATATGTAAGGATTTTAACTTTTCCTGAGGTAGCCTATGACGAATTGTGATTTTTGTGTAGGTACTAAGTGGCATCCTCGTAACAGGCATGGCACGGTTTTGGACTAATCCTAAACTTTATGAAAGCCTGCTGAGTGTCTGGAATGCAGTGACACATCAACACGAAGGCATCGGAATTGTTTCCTTACAGTGGTAACGCAACATAAGAGTTTTTATCATTGCAACATATTGAATTCGTTCAATCAAGCTGACGTAATGCCAGCATTATTTTGTTAAGCACAAACTTCCGATGCAGCAGGTACCGAAAAGATGGAACTAAACGGCTAGCCAAGATTAAAAGTAAGGCGCTACAACGGGGCGCATGACCACTTCATACAAGCTGTTCAGTTTATAGAGTACGCCCTAAGTAACAAATGGTTATATTGGCGTTTACAGAGACCAGTGAGGAGACCTTGTTCGTTCGTCCGTCCAACCAGAAACTAGCTAACACGGGAAGGTTCATCCTTTTAGGAGCAGCATGCGGGAAGTAATTCACACATCAGATCGGTAGATTGGTTCCACGAGGATTTCTGGGGAACGGAATATGTGACAAGACTAGAGATAAACAGCAATAAAACTGAGTTTTTTGTTCCAATCGTAGACCACAGTGGTTTCAGAATGGAGCAGTCAGCATCGAGAAGGTGAGCGAGCATACAGTAATATCTGAAATCGGTTTTGACAGCTAGCCTATGCTAGCCTGTGCTTAGCTGGCAGGAGTTAGCTACTGCGCAAAACTTTCGTTTCCCCAATGGTTTAGGTTGCGTATTTTCTTATTTAACTAGCTGACAGGTTTCTTTTAAAGTAGTTGTAGACTGCTGGTAATCGGCAAGGCTATTTATTTGCTTTTGGAAACGTATTTGTGCTTTAGCTTCTGTGTATCAGTCATGCCAGTGTCGGCATTGCTGATGCTGATTTCAGACCGTTGACTGTCATATTTTCTCTCCCTTTTGTTTGTGTTCGCTACCCACAAACAAATCTCCTCAAACTGGCTAGTTTTGCCTTGGGAGGTTTGGATGCCTCTTGGTTTACTTTCTTCACCTACCGTGTTCAATTGGTAAAGTGGTAGATGCAGTGGCTTCATTCATTGTTTTATTTTTGAACTTTTATTCAATTCAATTAATGAAGGCATCTGAACATAAGCACAGCAATGCATTATGTGTACCAATACATCCAGGATAGCAGTAAGTGGGGACCTCCCCGAAAAATCATACTTTAATGACTGTTATACTCCATACAATTGCCAGGTCCGCCGTTATGAATACGTAAATATTTCTGAAATGTTTTCATTTAGAGATTGGGCTGTACTGTCGCATTATTTCCTCCAAATGATGGTTCTCCCACCCCTCGCCAGTGGATTATATCTCTAAAACTACCCCTCTGGCAACAGCTGTGCCCATACAGATTCATTAGTGGAAGGTTTGTGGATATTTGGATGGATATTTACTGAGGTGATTGTGGCATAAATACATTGCTCAAGGGTACAGCAGCAGGGCCCCAGCACGGAATTGAACCAGTAACCTTTCGGTTATGAGCCTTGCGCCTTACCACTATGCTACACCGCTGCCCCGCATACACTTGCACTTCATACCGTGTGCTATACAATTTATGATCAGGATATGTTTTTCTTTGCAGCAAATTGAAAAAGCTGAGTGAAGACAGTTTAACAAAGCAACCAGAGGAGGTTTTTGATGTTCTTGAGAAACTGGGTGAAGGGTAAGGTTTACTTTTTTTTCCTGCTAATGGCTCCATGTGAAGACATGACACCTGGAGGGATTTGCAGAAGACCTCTGTAGAAGAGCTCATTGTTTTGCAGCAATGAAATTGTAAACCAGTCTCTTGTCTCTCTGTGTGGAGTAAAGGTCAGTACTGGACCAAGCAGTATGCAGTGTGATTATAGCAACATTAAAATATCAGATACGTTAATTCTTCTCATTGTCTGTTTTAGATGACATAAAACAAACTCTGTTTCTGATTGAGATTAATCAACGAGACACACTGAAAGATTTCTCTGCGTGACAGTGGGATTGTGGTTTTTTCTGTTGATGATGCTTTTAGGATGTTGAATGTCAAAAGCATCATATTTCAGCCCTTTCCAGATGTACATTGTGTGCATTGATTTTGTCCGTCATCTACATTCCTGTGTGTTGTAAAAGTAGTGACTCACAGATTAGTCAGAGTAAAATAAACTGTATAAAAACTTACCCCCAGACAGTGCTGAAAAGTAATAGACAGTTTATTGTAGATTATTTCCATGTGTTCAGTATCTTGTACCATACTTGTTCTGAGTATTACTGTAGACCACAAATCTTACAACTGGACCCATTCCTTTGATTCACAAATTACAGAATGTACTATGATGATGATGATTATTATTCAGTTAAATTATTATTATTATTATTATTATTATTATTATTATTATTATTATTATGGTGATCTGTAGGAAAATAAGTTGATAGAAACAGTCTTATAGCTCTGCAGTAACAAAAGATGAGTGAATCTAGAAAAAATCCATTGCAGATGACAGTCTCATTTTGGGTGGCATTTAATTACTGACATGTTCTAGAACGCCTGTTCAACTCCTTTGTAATTGTCGCAGCAGTTTACACTCAGTATCTTGCACAAGGGTACAGTGTTGATGTCCTACAGGGGATTTTGTGCGTTGATACAGAAATGCTCTTCTTGTGCAGGTCCTATGGCAGTGTGTACAAAGCCATACACAAGGAGTCTGGTCAGGTAGTAGCCATCAAACAAGTCCCTGTGGAGTCTGACCTCCAGGAGATTATTAAAGAGATATCCATCATGCAGCAATGTGACAGGTATGTCTGGAGTAAGACAGCCATGTTACACGTGCCTGTACTCACAAACATCCCCCTTTTCATGCCAGTGGAAATTTTTACCCTGACATATTCCTTTATTAGCATTACCAGTTCTGGGTCAAGCTTGTGTCATTTTTATGACTCGCTTACTGAAAATGCAGTAAACTTGTGCCATGTGCTCTCTTTTACATGCACCCAGTCCCTATGTGGTGAAGTACTATGGCAGTTATTTCAAAAACACAGACCTGTGGATAGTGATGGAATACTGTGGAGCGGGCTCTGTCTCAGACATCATCAGGCTGCGCAACAAAACGGTCAGTGCATTATGGGGCTTGGAGTTTCTGTGTAGTAGTTGTTACATATATGGGTTAGATTTGGATTGGGGTGGGAGCCATGCATGTGATGCGATTGTGTGTGTAGCTATGTGTGTGTGTGTGTGTGTGTGTGTGTGTGTGTGTTTGCTATTTAGAGTCCACATGAGACTTAATCACCAACTATTAATGCTGCTTCACAGTGGTGTCATGTCATGTGGCAGCCAGAGCTGGGAAGTAGCCTCAGCTAGAGGACTCAATTACTTCTATATCCTCACAGGAATATGGTCTTTTCTGGTCACATACTTTCTTATTTTTAGTGTACCAGTGCATTTGACCTTCTCTAAATTTTAACTCCCAAAATATCTGGCATTCCCTTGTTGTATTTGCTGTTGTGGTCACGTTCATGAGCTTTGGTGTGACTTTATTGGACCAAGCGTCATAAGGAGGCCTCTCCAAGGTCTCTCCGGATGTTCTCCCCCAGTTCCAGAGGGAAGATTCTGGGGCTCGGTGTCAGGCGATTCCCAGGCCTCTGTCCCTTGGGAGGCCAGAGGTTATGAGCTGACGTTAGCGTTGCTATGGCTGTAAGGCCTATAACAGTGTCACAGCCGTGTTTTCTGTTAATGCTTTTGTGTTTCAAATGTCATGAAGCAATGTAGTTTGAAGGGGGCTTTTAAAAATGAAAGACGAGTGATGTCCGGCTTGTGGTGGCGTGAGATGTCAAAGGAATCAGAGTCAACTGGCCCCTTGTGATCATCCAGTGTTGCAGTCAGTGATCAGATTTTCACACTTATGGGCATGGAAAAGCGTTTGGCTGACAAGATCATTTAGAAAGCCTTAATTGCAGAACTAAACTGGAAGCTGTCACTGACACGCACTATATGAAGTGGTGCTTACTGTCTACTACAAAGACTTCTTTGGTTAAGTATGTATGCCAAACACAGAGCCCTTATTTCTGCTCATCAGAGAATTCTATAAATTCAAGCTCACAGTTTTATGGTTGTAGAGTGTGACAGTATTTATTTCTTACTTTACTAAAGTTTTTTTTTTGTCCTGCACAGCTCACTGAGGATGAGATTGCAACAATCCTCAAATCCACCTTGAAGGGCCTGGAGTATCTGCACTTCATGAGGAAGATTCACAGAGACATAAAAGCTGGCAACATCCTCCTCAACACGGAAGGCCATGCCAAGCTGGCAGATTTCGGCGTGGCCGGACAACTCACTGTGAGTTTCGTGCCATGAGTGACGCTTTCTCAGGCTTCATGTGTCAGTGTTACAGAATGGATGCGCATGTTTGCTTTTTGAACGATTGAGGGGGACGTGACACGGGTGCTTATTGTTAGCTAATCGCTAACGCAGTTAGCATTAATAATCGCAATTTATGTGTCATTTTGAAATGTGTCCAAGAGAACTAAGGAAGTAACAACTATGTTAAGTTATTTCTCAGCAAATGAAAGCAGTATTCATGAATGAGATGTGTGGGAAGGAGAGAAAAGTTTTCCTTTTACTTTGTCTAAATGTACAAGTATTTTTGAACCTGCTGTTTTCTTGCAGATGTGGTCTGGAGTCTCTAACTTGGTTTTGATTTACTGCTCTGAGAGAGCACCCTCCACTCCTGTCTAGAGGCCAGTATGATGAATTGGAAGCAGTGTTTGCTCGAGAGTAATATCTGCTGAGTCTCTGAGTCAGAAGTTCACAGGGGCTTGAGGCAAATCTTTGCTTAAATTCCACAGTAAAATGATGAAAACGCTGAGATTAAAAAAAAAATCCAGATGGCAAATTGCGCTCTGGTGTGAGAGTAAAGGCTGTTGTTTGCAAGGCCCTTGCACAGTGCAGGAGCACATCAGCATAATCTAGTGAATGTAGGTCCACGGTTTAGCCAAGTTAAGCACATAAGCTCTCCATTACTCACCTGCCTGCATTGTTCTGGATTTAGGACACTGATAAACCATTTTTCTGAGCATTTGCTGATTGGTAAATTGTTTTACAACAGCTGCAGAACCCTGGGCACCAGAGCAACGCAGTGGGAGTGTTGAGGTCTTTTTAGTTTCGAGTGACTGGAATACAAATGTAGTGCAATAAACCGTTTGGACCCCAAGCTAAACACACCATGACCTGTGTCGTTTGTTGTTTTTACTCGCACTCGGATTTTTGGTTTGCAGCCAAGGCTTCTGGCATGTGGTTCTCCTCCCCCAGGACTCCTAGTAAAGCGACGTGAATAATATCTAATGGCAGCATGCTCTACAGGGTCGCCATTGCCCATGTCTTATCTTTTTGGACAGCTCTCCCACATCACTTCTGTCTCTCCCTCGCCCCCTGCAGGACACCATGGCCAAGCGCAACACGGTGATCGGCACGCCCTTTTGGATGGCCCCCGAGGTCATCCAGGAGATTGGGTACAACTGCGTGGCAGACATCTGGTCCCTGGGCATATCGTCCATAGAGATGGCGGAGGGGAAGCCCCCCTATGCGGACATCCATCCAATGAGGGTGAGTCCCTCTCTCGGCCCCGCCCTCACACAGTGCACACAAGTCTGGAAACCACCAATGGAGGTGTCTCTGCACTGTCACAGACTCAGAAAACATTTACTCATCAATATATATGATATATTTTAGATTCAGTAGTAGAAATTCACTGTTTTTCCACTTGATTAAATATAGAAACAAACCCATATTTCTCAGAGGAGAACATGCAGTATATTTCCCCGTGTAATCTCTCCTCTCTTTCTCCTGATGAGCAGCTGAAAAACTTACAGCTCTTTCCATCTCTCTGCTCACACTGTCATACTCAGGATGTAAATGTAGATTATTTATTGCTCTTTCCAAATATTCTCCTCCTGCCAAAATATGCTAGCGTTGCTTTCTTAACCTTGAGCAGTGATCTGTGTATTCAGAGTGGAAGAACAGCCAAAAGGAAGTTCCTTTTGTTGAATGGGCTGGCTGCTTGGTCCTGAGCCAATGTGGGTTCTGAACTGAGAAGCCATTAAGCAGTTGTTCTCCGTCTGCGTAATTACTCTGTGGTATGTGTCACTACCACATCTTTGTCTTGTTAATATATAGCTTTAATGCGGCTCCATAAGGCAGACAGAGGTTTGATTTAAAGTGGGATGGACAGTGTAAGTAGGCAGATCAGGCAACAGCTGCCAAAATAACATTTAGCTTCTCAGATTGTCAATCTCTTTCAGAACTTTGCCTTTCTCTGCTTTCCTCTTTGTTGCCCTTCGTTCTCCCTCTCTCTTACGCTTGTTTTCTTTTCCTCTCTTCCGTTTTCCCTCTTTCTTGTTTTCCCTCTCCAGGCTATTTTTATGATTCCCACAAACCCACCGCCGACCTTCAGGAAGCCCGAGCTGTGGACAGACGAGTTCACGGACTTTGTGAAGAAGTGTCTGGTGAAGAACCCTGAACAGAGAGCCACTGCCACCCAGTTGCTACAGG